CTGATTTTTTTTTTTTTTTTTTTTTTTTGCCTAATCCCAAATCGTAGCGAGCTGGATCAAGGGGGGGGCTGATGGGCTCTCCCCCGACGGGAAAGTGCGTCCTGGAGGGGAAGAAGCTGAGAAAACAGCAGCCCCCCCGCCCCCCCCACCTTTACAGACGCCACCTAGGGGTGGGATTGGGTTGTATATCGCAGGGCTCGGAGGCTGGGAAAGTTTTTCTCTCCCCCTCTCTTCTGAAATTATTTCTTGGGAAATCACTGGGGAGGATGTGCTGGAGGCTTCGCAGGGTTCGCTGGTTTCTCCTGTTGTCCGGGGAACCCTGCTCCCCAGGTTTGCTGCTCCACACGTCCCTTTGCCTGGGGCATGTTTTTTCCTTTCCTTCACGTTAAGTTGCTTCTGTTAAAATGTTTTGCTTGGGGTGAACAAAGTGTTATCAGTTTTCTCCCCTAAAGTGATCTCCTCAGTGTGTTTTTTTCCCATTGAAATGCATTCTGATATTTTGGTTCAGCTGGTTAAGAAATTGTTTTTTTTTTCCAGAAACTTAGGGAAGAGCACTGCAGGCTGTAGGTTTATGTGGAAGGACGGAATTGCAGGGATTAAAAGCTCTCAAAGTGCCTTACACTTCCTTGTCCTTTTAGAGTCTTTTGATTTCTCTTTGAGAGTTTGGTAGGCATCTCATGGTGAGAAAACAGCTCTTGACGATGCCTTTGAAATGGAAAGGGCCTTGCCTGGAAGGAAATGGAGAGACTGACACATGAATGAGAAAAATTAATCTCTTACATGGAAACTTCATTTTAAAATTTGCTTTTCTCCTCCTCTTTCTTTTGTCTAAACAGAACGCGTGATTTTAAGTACTCCCATTTTCTTTTGGCTGGGTCTTTATTAAAAATTTGGGCACATATATTCTAATTAGCGTGGAAGTGTAGAGAAATAAAAGCGATTTGTTTTTCTCTTCTCAGCTCTCATATATTTGAAGTCATTCTTTTAAGTGAAGTAATTCTGCAAATAATTATATTATCCAAATATTCAGAAATGAAAGTTCTAGTCAGCTTAGTGAAATATCTAACATAAAATCTATAGTATCTTTAAAAATCTGAGTTGTTTGGAATGTTTAAAAAACACTTCTTACTTGAAGATCCCTGTGAATGGTTACAGATGGAGAAATATAATTGGTGAATGTGAAATTTAATTTAGCTGACTTAACAAAATATATTGTAAACAACCTGAAATGTGGCTTTCAAGTAAAAGTCATATATGTCCCAAACAATAGGGAAACAGGCCTTTGAAGAAAGACAGAAACACTTTGCAAATGCTGTAAAGGAATTTGTAGCTGTCCGTGTTGATGGATAATTTTGGGGCTTATCTTTTGTTATTATTATACATTCTCAAAGGCTGATTACTTCTAAATTCATTGTAAATTTAGATTCTTACCATAATAAAGCACATATAAAGTGAAAAACATGAGTATAGCAATAAAATAGAAAAACTATACATATATCAGAATAAAGATGATTCCTTGTTAGTAATTAGAAAACATAGCATGCAAATGACACCTCTGTGACAGTTGTTTTTGAAATAAGATGGAGATCTGGGTTCAAAATTTTAAACCTCCCAAAGGTATTTTGTGGGCTGTTTATTTGTCTTGTTCTTGTGAGAAAATATCAACTTGGTCACTCTTCGAAACTTTAGGTTACTCTCCCAAAAAGTGGTTAAGGGGCGGGGGGGGGGGGGGGGGGGGGGAAAAAAAAAAATGAGAAAATTCCTGCCTGTTTTTGGAGATGAGCTAAGTGATTAAGTTCAGACTAACTTTACCTATTTCTCTACATTTCAGAATCTCAAAGTTGGCAAGCAAGCTGGTGTTGAAATATCCGTAGCGAGAGCGTTGGCAGAGTGTCTTTCTTGGTTATCGCAGGGGAGGTTTCTGTGTTTTTATCATATTCTAGATCTGTTGTGTCACTCTTGAGTGAGCTGTGGTGAGAAGAAACTGCAGGGGCTCACCTTCCCTTTCTCCACAGGCCAGCGGTAGTCCTATCTGATCAATCAAGCTGACGGAGGGAGGACTGATACAGGTCCCTGAGCGTGCTTCTAGCAGGCACCCAGGACAGGAACTGAGACGTCAGAGATGTAATGACTTTGCCATTGATCACAGTTGCTGAAAACCAGAATACGCAACGACCATTTCCTCCGATAACTTGTTGGCTTGGCTCTTGATGGTGATCAAGATTGGGGACCTGGTACTAGGTGCAGTTGGGGGCTAGCAAGAGGCCAGGGAGGGCAGGGGGAGAGAGGGAACCCGCCTCCAGCAGAGAGGGGCCGGCTCTGCCTGCACAGACAGCATCCCACAGCAGGGCGGGAAGCCCGGCCCCCCTTCCCTGGCCCTTGCGCCCCAAGTGCATACGATGAACACAGAAGAGCAACAGCTGTCATCCCGGGGCAGGCAGCTCTGGGTGCGGAGGCTGTTAAATGAAACTGCCTTTTATTTTCTCGAAGTTTCTTTTCAGTACTGACAAGTTGGAGGTAGAGAAACCAAAAGCAGTGTTTTCAGGAGGCCTTGCTCTCTCACAGAAAGATTTCAAGTGATGATTTTAATGAATCCAGCTGCCTGTTTTAACAGTCATCAGATAAATGCTCACAAGACTCATCTTTCAAGAGCTTAGCTGCTGCTTGTCAGATTCTAAACTCCAAAAAGCTTGATTCTTGCAGGGCCTAAACTAATCCTTGCTGAAATTATGTCTTCAGAAGCTTTCACTCTTGTAGTGGCTTGCTAAATGATACCTTTTGGGTCTGGGCTGAAGACTTCCATAATGTCCAAGTGAATTTCAGGACAGAGCTCAATATGCGAACAAATTCACCTTTCTCAAGGGCTGTTCAGCCCTTACTTGGAACTTCCAGTGTTTGTAAGGAAACCATCCAGGACTGCAGACAATATTTAAAGTTAACACTCCGGTGTGGGGTGAATTTCCCGCCAAAATATAAGATGGCTCTGTCTTTTGGTTTTGTTCCATCCACCAAAAGGGTGGATTACAAACAAATATTTGGTAATACGCAGTTACAATCGGCCCGAGTTTACACGTTTCCCCGCACTCCACCGCAAATCTATATGAACCGAGTTAAAGACGGCTCCCGCGGAGTACGCGCAATTCACGTGAGCCGACTTAACTTGTTTCCCCCACTTTAAAGTTAATATGTGTTGCCAATATATTTGTGGCTCAAAGTAAAGTATTATAACATGTAAACATTTTTTAAATAAGAAAGCCTTATGGTTAGCTCAGCCGGTGTGGCTCAGTGGTTGAGCATCGACCTATGAACCAGGAGGTGGTGGTTGGATTCCCGGTCAGGGCACATGCCTGGGTTGCAGGCTCGATCCCCAGTGTGGGGCGTGCAGGAGGCAGCCAATCAATGATTCTCTGTCATCATTGATATTTCCATCTCTCTCTCCCTCTCACTTCCTCTCTGAAATCAATAAAAAAATAATATATATATATGTAAAATTTAAAATGGAGTGCTTCCTCCAGTGTTTAGATAGTACTAAATGGAACAATATTGTTTTCACCCCCCCAAAAGATAAAAACTATAAGAAGTTTGATTTATTGGTTAAAATATTTTCAATACTTATGATGTTTTTAAATAAAACATTTCACTGAAATATAACAGGATGTGTTTTAAAGTAGAAACCACTCCTATCATATAAGCCCACATAATCCATTTTAATCACTTAAAGTCACATCTTAAAACCCTT